CGCGCGCAGCCCCCGGCCGGCACTGCCCCCGTCCGCTGCAGCTGGCGGGGTCCCTGCGAGAGGAGGCGCGGCCAGCGCGTTCCCTTACGGAGGTGCATTGCGGGCGTGGCCTGACTCACACAAGCCCCGCGGCTTTGGCTGCATCCAGCGAGCGTTGCACCCCGAGACAACGGCCGGTCCTGCGCCGAGCTGAACTCCCCCCCGAGTTTGCGGGGAACACGGAGGATCCGTTTTGCTCCGGGGGGAGCGGAACTGGGCGTAGGCGGTAGTTTGCTTTCCTCTTTCTGCGGCTAATCGCCTTCCCGGAGAGGAGCGAGGCTTCTACCTCTGCGGGACAAGCAGGACGCGCACAACATGAAAGTCGAGTTTGCTCCGGTTCACATTCCCCTGGCCAGGAGACTCCAGACAGCTGCCGTGTTCCAGTGGGTCTTCTCCTTCCTCCTATTAGGTAACAGCGCTTTGCCCGCCTGCCTTCAGAGGGAAACGAATCTTATTTAAAAGCAGCAACAGGCTCAGGATTCCTCCACTCCGTCGCCACGTGGAGACTAAGCCTGGCCTGCTGCATATATTAAAGCTGATGTTTGAAAGCAAGTTCACATTACACAGGATTAGGAGAAAGGCTCTGTACATCTGGATGGCGAAAAGTTACAAGTATTATAAACATTGGCGAAGCCCCATGCTTCTTTCTTACTTGTTTACAAATGGGCAGGGCATTTCAGCATGCAAGGAGTAAAGGAGAGTATAGTTGTCTCTGTTGTCTGAAAAGATGTTTCCTCTTTTTCTTGTAAGTTGTGTTTTTCTTATGCATGTATAACCGCCACAGGCGGTTTTGAACCTGCGACCATAAAAAACACAGCTACAGATGTATTTCACAGTGACAGAGTCTTCCCATTAAAACAAATTCCTCAGTCCCAGCTAGTTTTGTGATGACTAATATTTTATCCCCTCTTCCCCCTCCCCAACAAAAACAATTCCTCATGGTAGATGTAAAGATTTTTATATAATGTGGCTTTCATTATTATTTAACTATTTTTGTACAACAGTTTTCCGTTGTGAATCTCCACCCAAATCTAAATTAAATAAGAAGTGATATGGGACTACTTTTGTCTTTAATCTTCTGTTTCAGAGGTTGGGAGTCTACGTTTCTCATACACTTATTTATTTCTGTCTAAAGTTAATTTAGTTAATGGTGATAAATTTATTTTAGTAGGTAAACTAATTCCACTGACTTATTAGTATGTGGTGATTTTTCCTAATATTCCAGTAAGGAGTTCTGCTAGTATATGTTTAATCATAGGAGTACATTTTTACTCATGTGGGTAAACTTTGATCCTCAGATAATATATATTAGAAAGCTCACTGTTCTGTGTATTATTGCTGGTGGTCAAGGCACTTCAGTGTTCCCATAGTTTGAATAGTGATAGAAATGTAGCCGTGTTAGTCTGGGGTAGTTGAAGCAAAATGCAGGACAATGTAGCACTTTAAAGACTAACAAGATGGTTTATTAGATGATGAGCTTTCGTGGGCCAGACCCACTTCCTCAGATCAAATAGTGGAAGAAAGTAGTCACAACCATATATACCAAAGGATACAATTAAAAAAAAGAACAAATATGAAAAGGACAAATCACATTGCAGAACAGAAGGAGGAGGCGGGGGGGTGGGAAGGGGGAGGAAGGAAGGTAAGTGTCTGTGAATTGATGATATTAGAGGTAGGGAGAGTGGTTTGAGTTTTACAAACATAGCTTCCTTACAAATCCTGCAAATATGTCATTTTATTCTATAAAATTCCAAAACTGTGTCTGGATCAGTATGGTATGGTCTAATTACCTACAAAGAAAGGTGCACTCTGGTTTCTGGGGAGCTGGCTTTACACTGAGCTTGATAATAATCAAAGTGTTTTTATTAAGTACAAAAAGTAGGATTTAAGTGGTTGCAAATAAAAACAGTCACATAAGAGTAAGTTACGAAATAAAAATGAACAAAAAAACACTTAGCTGGTTCTAATCCACTAAGAAATTTGTAACATGAAAATTGTTACCCTGTATATCACTGTTCTTATTTCAGGTAAAAGCCTCAAATAAGAGTTGATCTTTTACTCTGACTTGGGTCTAACTCTATAGCTTCTTCAAAGTTCCTTTGTATCCTGGGGTTTGCCAGGCATTTTCAAAAGCCAGCTGAAGACAAAGGCTGATTGTTTTCTTATTGCTTTAATATGCTTTCCCCCAGAACAGGAAACCTTTCCTTGACAACTGTTCTTATTTCAGGTAAAAGCCTCAAATAAGAGTTGATCTTTTACTCTGACTTGGGTCTAACTCTATAGCTTCTTCAAAGTTCCTTTGTATCCTGGGGTTTGCCAGGCATTTTCAAAAGCCAGCTGAAGACAAAGGCTGATTGTTTTCTTATTGCTTTAATATGCTTTCCCCCAGAACAGGAAACCTTTCCTTGACATTC